ACCCTAAACCTAACCCTAAAACTAACCCTAAACCTAACCCTAAACCTAACCCTAACACTAACCCTAAACCTAACCCTAAACCTAACGCTAAACCTAACCCTAACGCTAAACCTAACCCTAAAAGAAACCCCTAAACCTAATCCTAACGCTTACCTTAATTGAAGTCGGCTTTCTGCCGCGGCGCCGTTTTAAAGCGCCCTTCTGTTGCCGCGGCTTTAGCACCATGATTATATTGCCGCAATTTTGACCAGCGCGGTATTGTCGTGCCACGCACTGGATCAGGTTGAAGGCCCAGTTAAACCAGCTATCTCCACTGAGAAGCTACGAAGTATCACTCCTCCTTAAATCATTTCGCTGTGGTGGTTAATACCTCTTCTACTGCATTCTGCTTTTTCTTTGCCATTATCCTCCCCCACCCCCCCACCAAGGAATGCTGTTTCATCTTTGAGGATTCTCAGAGATATATTTTTGGTAAGAGTTATTACAATAAGCCAAGTTAAACTGAATTTGGGACTTGTTCATGTGCACACGCACATATTTATGGAAACCACAGAAGACTTAGCACTGCTCATCAGGCATGTAGACACATCCAAGGTTAGAAAAATGGATTGGGGGCGCAAAGGACAAATGAAATTTGGAGCAGAAACATTCGCAGATGAATGTGATAGTTCTGCATCTGCCGAACGAGTAGCAAACTCATTCCCAATATGCCAATATTTTGTTTTCCATCCCCTCAAAGCACACAATAGAATCATCTAGGGAATCTCAATTCTTGTCTGGAATGAACCAAAGAAAACAGGACACAAGATCCAGTTCCTCCTCTGATTCTCACCGGTACAGAAGGCCCTGGTACTGGTGTGGACTGGGTGACAGTAGTGACAGCTCTGATTTGAGTGGAGGAAACCGTGGTCACAGCAGCAGCACTGGGGCTGCTGGCGGCTGGACTCTCAGTCACAGGTATCTCTGGTTCCCCTTGTTGCCCATTGGTAGCAGGTGGCTGGTCTGCAGAAAGAAAACAGGTTACACGCTGAAGACAAAGACACAAGAGGAAGTCTTTGGTTGTGAAAATCCACTGGATTTTCAGGATTTGGAACATCGGTTGTTTCAAAAGTTCAAAACTTAAAACAAGATGCTGCGTATTTTGGAATCCATCTCCAACTTTGCTGCTTCATTCCATGATGAGCGCTTCAATGTATAGGAAAGAGGGACTTGAAGCTCAACTTCCTTATTGGAACTCATCCTAAAGTTACAAAATAGTGTGTGGTAGAACAATTTGAGAATTATCTACCAACTGACAGAGAAAAATCTAAGTGGATATCTTTAAAAAAAACCTTAGTTCTTTAGCAAACTTAAAAATAATAATAGTTAAGCAGAAACAACCTGTCTGCACAATGTTTAAACCAACATCCCGAGTCAGACTGTTTGTTTTAAACTTATAATAAAATACCCTATTTTTCGCTCCATAAGACGAACTCCCCCACCCCAGAAGGGGGTGGAAATGTCTGTGCATCTGATGGGAGCGAATATCGCAGCCAGGCTCCCGCCAGAGTGCAGGAGTCAGTTGACAGAGCTGGCACATGAGAAGACATCTATCTGTGGTCCTCTCAGGCTCCGCCTCCTGCCCTCACTACCCTGCTGCTTCATATTTGGCACTCCATATGCACCGGGAGACCCCACCCCAGATTCATTTTTTTTTTCTTCGTTACCTCCTTGAAACCTAGGTGTGTCTTAAGGAGCAAAAAATATGGTACTTCTTTGTTTTGTGAAGAATTTTGTGGCATATTCTTACTGTTTGCCCATCTCATTCTCAGGTAGCAAGTTGTTCATCAGAGGACAAAATCGTTCTAGGGCCGAATCTCACGCAATTAAAATTGGGGGGGAAATGCCTTGCACAAACTTTTAAGTGAGGAACAAACATGCGTGGCGATGCTATGGCACATATGCCACAGGTGGCACGCAGAGCCATATTTGCCCGCACGACAGCCCTCAGCTCCGCCAGCTGATTTTCGCCCTTCCAGAGGGACGGCGGAGGCCATTTTCACCCTCCCCAGGCTTCAGGAAAGCCTCCGGAGCCTAAAGAGGGTGAAAAACAGACCCAATGGGCCAACCGGAAGTTCGGAAACTATACGTTTCCGCCTTCTGGAGGGCTTCCAGGGGGCAGGGGGAGGCTGTTTTTGCCCTTCCCAGGCTTCAGAAAAGCCTCCAGAGCCTGGGGAGGGTGAAAACTCCCCCTCCCGCATACAGGGGGGGGGGGGTTCGTGTGCACATGCGCAGGTGGGTGGGGCGCGTGATAGTGCACACACACAAAATTTTGGCACGCCTTTAGAAAAAGGTTAGCCATCACTGCTATAGAAGATTCTGGGCTATAGCTTGAATAGGCACCGAGAGAAGTAAAGAATGCTATCCAGATAAACCCATTTTTCAGCAATTGTACTTTGTATGGGATGATTGACAGCAGCAAGGACAATATTTTTTCAAAGATAGTAGATTAGTTTTATCCATCCCTCCAAAGAATTATGTCAAAGCAGCTATTATAGAGCTACAAAACTTCCGAATACATGCAGGGCTTGATTAGTGAGTCTAAAACAAGGACAAAAATTCTAGATAGATGAAGAAAAATTAACCCTAATACAACTTTATAAAGCTTATATATTTTTGTGTTACAATATGATGCTACTATGAATTTCCACTTTCACTGCTTGCTAAGGAACCAGTGTGTCTGAGACCGTGACCCGACAAAAGCGCACACGACAAAAGCGCGCCGCTAAAACCGCGACGTCAATGCGCCAACAGCGTGCCGACAACAGCGTGTCGATAGAAGGGTGATTTACAACAGCGCGTCAACAGAAGGGTGATTTAAGTTAAGGTAAGGATTAGGTTTAGGGTTAGGTTTACACCACCCTTCTGTCGGCTCGCTGTTGTTGGTGCGATTCAGCGCTCATTCGTCGGCGCGGTTCAGAACTCATGGTTTTGTCACCGTGGTTTAGTCGGGCGCGCTTTTGTCGGTGAACCGTCTGAGGCAAACCAAGATACGCTGCAAAACGATTCTGTAAAATTCTCCAATCTACGTAAGGCCCATGCAAGGCACTGATCACAAATTAGGCCTCACATATATTTCGTGAACCGTGTATCCTAAATGATTCAGTTCATTTCCAAGTGTACCCTTGTTAAGGAACAGGGCTAATTCAAAGAATATTGTTCTTTACTATTAAGACTACCAAGGAATCCCCTGAGGTTACCCAGAGAAGTCTGAAAATCCCTATATGAGACGTTTCTAATACCCTTCCTTTGTGTTCTTTTACCTTGGTTGGCACCCATGGAAGAAGTAACTGTGGTGGCCGTATGGGTGGTTCCTGTTTCATGTGTCTCACAAGGAGGGTTTGAGCATATTCTGGGTGTTGAGCTCTGAGGCAAAGACCCAGCAATCCCTGGTGATTCTCTCTCAGGAGTTTTTCTCAGTTCTGAGTTGCCACATTGTGCTGATGCTGAGCTGGAAGACTGAGAGCCGTCACCTCCTATGCTGGCTGTCATTGTGGTGCTGGTGGAGTTGGTTTGCTGCGTTTCACAGGGTGCAGTAACAGGGGGATGCTGGTGCTGAGCACCTTCATTTTGTTCAGCTCCCAGGTTTGACGTGGTGGTGGTGGCTGTGTTCGTAGTACCCGTCTCGTGAGTTTCACACGGTGGATTGGAGCACACTTGCTGTCCCACGGCTATGTTGGAAGTCGCTGTGGTAGCTGTGTTGGTGGTGCCCGTTTCGTGAGTCTCACAAGGTGGATTGGAGCACACCTGCTGTCCCACGGCTATGTTGGAAGTCGCTGTGGTAGCTGTGTTGGTGGTGCCCGTTTCGTGAATCTCACAAGGTGGATTGGAGCACACCTGCTGGGTAGCACCCAGGTTTGATGTCGTTACGGTAGCTGCATTTGTGGTATCTGTTTCAGGAGTTTCACAAGGTGGATTAGAGCACACTTCAAGATTTGTGTCCTTGGTATCCGTGTTATGGGTCTTGCAAGGCGCACTTGACTGAACTGGCACATCAACTTTGACAGACATGGTGGTGCTGGTAGAGTTGGTTTGCTGTGTTTGGCACGGAAGGTTGGCAGATCCCACCCATTCGCCATCTGGCTGCCCTTTGCCCATGAGCGACCGAGCTGTGGTGGCAGTATTGGTGGTGTGAGTATGTTGGGATTCACACTGGCCTTTTTTCAGGGCTCGTGGTCCTTCACTGCTTTGCTCTGTGGGAGTGCCAGAAGCCGCACTAGGCAAGCCAGCAGCTGGCATGAAGCTTACAATTTGAACTGCACTTGGATGCTCTGGGGGGATATCTGTTTTTGTCGTCATGGTGGTGCTAGTGCTACCCGTCTGTTTTGTTTGGCATGGCGTGTTAGTCAATTCCTTCTGTACGTCATCAGGTTGCTCTTGGCCCATGTGTGAGGTGGTGGTGGTAGCAGTATTTGTAGTGCCAGTCTCGTGGGTTTCATGGGGAGGATTGGAACACACTAGCTGACCCGTACCTACGATGGGCTTTACTGTCATGGTGGTGCCAGTGGCACTGGTCTGGAAAGTATGGCATGGTGGCTCTGAGGGTGCCTTCTCTGTTTTGGAGATGGTGGCTGTATTAGTGGTGCCAGTCTCATGAGTTTCACAAGGTGGATTGGAACATACCTTCTGTCCAGCACTCAGAACGGTGGTTGCTGTGTTGGTGGTACCAGTCTCATGCATCTCACAAGGAGGATTGGAGCATATCCGCACCACTCGGCCATTGGGCTGGAGGCCACCCCCCTCCTGCCCATCACACACAAACTGTAACTGAGCTGGCCCACCCAAAGTGCCCACAACTGTGGTCGTAGCTGTGTTGGTTGTGCCAGTATCGTGTGTTTCACAGGGTGGATTGGAGCAAACCAGTGTAACAGTGCCTGGCTGTGAATCTCCTTGCCCCGGCTCAGCAATGGTGACGGTGGCTGTGGGCTGCTCTGTGGTGGGAGAAGCCAATATAGAAACAGGCAAATCATGTACTGGCTGGGCCTCGACACCGCTGGGGGTTGTAATCAGGGTGACTTGAGTAGGCTGAGAAACAGGCTAGGGGGATTGAAACAAACAGACATAGGTTAGCAGAGGCATCTCTAGTCGAGAGACATCTCTAAATCACATGTAAGATTTACAAGCATTCTGTTATGCAGAACAGTATGGTTAACTGTATTTTAGGCTGTAGGCATTACAAAATATCTTCCATATGTAAAGAAAATAGTCCTGGCACTTATAAAAGCTACAGGCATTTTCATGGAGAAATATGAATTGAATAACCTTCTGCAAAACATCCACACAATGCATTTATACATGCAAGAAATATACTCTGGGGAATATTTTAAAATATATCCCCCAATTACCGTATTTTTCAGATTATAAGATGCACCTGACTATACAACTCACCTAAATTTAGAAGAGAAAAACAACAACAACAAAAAGGTTTTTGGCTTCTGCGCACCTCATTTCCAGCCCTTTTTTTAGCTCTTTTCCAGCCTTTTTTATACCCATTTTCTAGGCTTTTTGGCCCATTTGGGGGGGCTTTTTTGGCATGTTTGTGAGGCTTCTTTTAGCCCATTTTTTGGGGGGGGGGCTTTTCTTGGCCCATTTTCAAGGCTTTTTTTGGGCTGTTTTTGAGGCTTTTTTCAGCCCATATTTTTTGGGGGGAAAACAGGCCGAAAAAAGCCTAGAAAACGGGACAAAAAAAGCTTGAAAATTGGGCCAAAAAAGCCTCCAAAATGGGCTGAAAAAAGGCCTGAAAAATGGCTGTGCAGAGGCCAAAACGGCAATATTCGGTCTATAGGACACATGGACATTTTCACCCCCTTTTGGGAGACAAAAAAGTGCTTCTTATAGTCTGAAAAGTACGGTAGTTTCATTCTGATGCAGTCTAATGCAGAATTCTGCAATCTGATTTTTTAAACTCTATTGTTAATTCCTCCACCCATCACTTCTCATTCCTTTTCTGCACTTTGTACAATACTGCTTACCCTGAAAAGTAGCGTTATGTATGTATACATGCATTTATTGAGAACAGCACTAAGCAGGGCAAAAGAAAAATGTGGGCATGAGGAATATTGCAGAACTGATTAGGTAGTAAAAGATATGACTAGACCATGGAAGCAAACTTAAGAGAATTGCAGAGTTTCACATCTGCCTTGAGAAGCAGAATTTTATATACTAGGATTGTAAAAGTCTGCAACAAGATTAAAGATGCAGATTAAAATACAGACTTTGATATAAAGTCATTGGAGACACAGATCTTGATGAGATCTTGTACAGATGATAAAGATCTTGTAAAGAAGACCATGACTCATGTTAGATGAAAAATGTGGGCACAGCAAGTTGTCTAATCCCAGGACAAAAGCTCTCACCTGTATGAAATGCTAGCTATTCTTACCCAATAGAGAGCTGCTCAAGACATGCACACTGCCTGTTTCAAATCATTACATGCTGACACCTAACACAAAAATTAGGGGTTTTTTTCCGCAACACAATTCTCATGACATCTATGAATTACAACAGAACGGCTAACTTTGTACTGTTTTTTTAAAAAAGGGCAGCCATGCAGCCAGGCGCTCTAGAATTGCAATTCCATGGTCTTTGGCCATGTTTGCTAGAGTGATGGGATTTGAAATCCAAGGCATCTGAAGGGTTCCAACTGCCTATCCTTTCCAAAGAGTCCACAGAATTATCAGGATTACCATAATTACCAGGAACATCAAATCCTGGATAACAGTTAAAAGGCAATAACAAGCCACAGAGAGGGGAAATCCAATTGCTCAAGTACACGTACACAGTCTCTTCCAACTATATCAGGAGTGTCAAACTCACGGCTGGATGCATCAAATGTTGGCCCCACCCCCGCCTGGTTTAGCCAAGGGGAAAAAACTCCTGATACCCATATCATTTGCAGGCATGTAAGAATCTGATTTTCATATTTTGTTTCTAATAGCTATCAGTTTCCTTCCTCTAGCAACCCTCTAATAAATCAGTGATGGCTAACCTTTTTCCCATCATGTGCCAAAAGCGGGGGGAGCGCAGGGGGGGTTGTGTGCGGGCATGCCCACACCCATAATTCTATGCACGCAACCCACCGTGCGCGTGCACACGTGACCCTGCCTGCGCATGCACGCACGACCCCCGCCCTCCCCCCGCTTTGGCACGTGACGGACCTGATTTTTTTGCCCTCTCCAGGCTCCAAAGGCTTTCTAGGAGCCTGGGGAGGGCGAAAACAGCCTCCCCCCGCCCCAGAGGCCCTCAGGATGCTTCAAGCGGCTTCCCTGAAGCTTCTGGAGGGCGGAAAAAGGCCCTATGGGCAACTTGAAAGTCCATTCCCAAACTTCCAGGTTGCCCGTAGGGCTGTTTTTCACTCTCCGGAAAATTTAGGCAACTTCCCTAAAGCTTTCGGAAGGAGAAAAATGGCCTAACACACAAACCAGAAGTCCATTCCCGTTTTCAGATGGCAAAAAACAAGGGCGAAGTCAGCTGAACTGGAGCAAAGCCTCGCGTGCCCCATGGCGTGTCATAGGTTCACCATCATGGCGCTAAATACTTCATCCTTTTCTCTAACTACAAACAGACCCACTCCTATGACGTGAAAAGTCTCAGCTAATAACCAATATCATTTTTTTTTATAAAACAGAAACATCATTCTTTGAAACCATGTGTGTCAACAAGTACCACATTTCGTGTTGAAAGTTTATCATAGGCTATGCAGAGCACCACTCTGTCTGTGCATCATTTTGTTGGGAAACTTTGCTTGCAATTTTCGACCAGGCCAAAACCATACCTGCATAGTGATGGTGGGAGTGGTGAGGCCTCCTGCCGCTGTCAGGGTTGTCTGTGCTGCTGAGACGGTGATGGCAGCTGGGTTGATGACCTGGCTGGAAAGTGTAGCAATGGTCCCCAAGGTGGTAATAGGCGTAGCCAAGGAAGCATTAGTATTGTGTGCCCCAGTTCCAGCTAGGCTTGTTGAGACCGTGCCTGTTACAGTGCCTAAGGTTGTAACTCCTTAAAAGATACAAAGGGGGAAAAACCATAAGATGGAGAAAATTCTTTTTTTTTTTGAGTAATATTTTTCATTTTTTCATTTTCATACACTCACATGTATAGTGTGCATAGCCAACAGCATACAGTATTAAACAATAATTGCATCAATTCCTCTTGTCAACAAT